CTGTCGCTGCGCAACTGCCTGAATTTCCCTAGTAGCATGGAGACCCCAAAATAGGCCTCGGTTGGGCCTGCCTTCACTTAGGGCGGCCGACTGTACTGAAAAGAGGGCCCAATAGGGCTTATTGAGGCCTTGAGCCTCACATTCCCTCCTCCATACTTTGACAGTCCTCTGAGAAGTTTCTTTACTCAATCTGGCGCTTTCCTTTCTGCAACAACTTCTCGTAGTGGGCGACAACGTGTGGGGCGGTCTGCATCAGTTCCTCCCGAGTAAACCATCTATCCTCCTTTGGATCAGTATGATGTCTGAACCGAATGCGGTACTGCAGCTTCGGCTTCGAAGGACGTCCTGTACCTGAAGGTCTTGGAACTGGCATTTCCCTGTGGTCCACGATGTCATCGATGTCGACCTTTCCATCCATGGTTGGGGGCAGCATTGAGCGTCGTGAGGGAAACTGATCAGTTTCCTTGGAAGGTGCAAGTTTGGAGGTGTGAAAGACAGGGTAAGTGTGAAGGTGACCAGGGATCTGAACTACATATGACGGCCTATTCGGATCATCCCCGACAATATCCAGAACCTCCTAGGGTCCAAAGTACTATGGCATGAGCTTACGGGATATCCCGTGCTCTTGTCCCAGTTCCGAGGACTTGACACAAACTCTGTCCCCTACCTGGAATGTAGATGGGCGGTGGTGCTTGTTCTTAGACTCTATCATCGCCGCCTGTGCCCTATGCATCTGTTCTACAACTTGCTGCATCAACTGGACATATCGATAAGCAAATTCTAGTGTACTAGGTGCAACTGTCGTCTGACTCTCAGGTAGTAGGAAGTCTAGAGGCAGTCTAGGCTTGAATGTCAGTAGCAGGCTGTTTGGACTCACCCCTGTTGCGCTGTGCACATCATTGTTGTACAGGCTGGTGATGAGAGCCAGTTTCTCATCCTAGTCCCCTTGGTTGGGCTTAATGTAATGCCCCAACAGGTGTTGTACAACACGATTCAACTGCTCTGCTTGCCTGTTTGCCTCTGGGTGGTTTTCAGAGGTCATTTGCAGCTGTGTACCCTGTTCTGCAGCTGCAGCCTTCCACATTTCACTCGTAAATCGTACGTCCCGGTCACTCACGATAGACTTTGGCAATCCAAAATCTCTGACCCAGTTTTCCTTGAACAACTTGATTACGAACTCAGTCTTGGCTGTTGCAGGCATTGCGACTAACCTAGCATACGTACTAAACCTATCCACAATGACATAGACATATCGCATTCCACTCTTGCTGGTGACCAGCGTGTCCATGAAGTACATGGACAGGCTCTCACTGGGCCTTTCCGACATCGGAAGGGGCTTGAGAAGCCCTAGAGGGGCCTATGTACATGGCTTGTCTCTCTGACATACCTAACAAGTCTCCACGTACAGCTTGGCGTCTCCCATCATTGTGGGCCACCAGAACTGCTGCAACAACTTAGCTGCAGTCTTTTTATAGCCAAAATGTCTTGTGGCATCGTGACACTCACCTAAAAATAAACTACGCAAAGACTCCCGATTAGGCACGCACAAACGTTTATTCCCGGCCTTCTCAAGGAACTGCAGGCCGTTGACCAACTCAAACTCGGTAGAAGTCGCTTTGTCCTTCGCCTCGAGTCTGCGGATGATCTCAACCATAAACGGATCCTCGCGATAGGCTTCCACCAAAGAACGAGTGGCATCGTCCGCAAGCCCAAATTCGGTGACCAGCTCACCCAGGAAGTCTGGCCTACGCGACAACGCATCAACAACCTTGTTGCACTCCCCCTTGATGTACTGGGGTTCAAAGTCATATTGCTCTATGACTTCGATCCATCGTTTTAGGGCATCGGAGAGTACCGATTGAGTCTTCATCCACCTCATGGTCTGGTGGTCATTCCTGATATAGAAGAAGCGGCCAAGGAGGTAGTGCCTCCAGTGAGTCAACGCTTTGTAAATCGCGTAGAGTTCCTTCTCATAAGTGGATTTGACCAACTTTTGAGAGGGCATATTTTTGGACATGTACTCTACCGGCCTCAACTTTTTCCCCTCTTGCTGTGCAAGTACGGCGCCAATGCCATATTGGCTGGCGTTTGTGGTCACAACAAACGGCTTGTCAGGATCGGGCAGTTTCAAGACCTCATGGTGAGTGAGGGCATGCTTCAGATGTCTGAAAGCAGCCTCACACCTGTCTGTCCACTCCTATGGGGTGTCAAGGTGTGTCAGGTCAGTCAAAGGGGCGGCCACTATGCTATAATTCTTGACAAAATTGCGGTAGTAGCCGGTCATCCCTTAGGACCTCATCTCAGTCACAGACCGAGGACGCGGCCAGTCACGTATGCTGGCCACCTTCACGTCATCGGGCTTCAACCCCTCCGCGGAAATCTCATGACCCAAGTACAAGATTCGGGTGTGGCCAAACTCACACTTCTCTTCGTTGATCTTGAACTTGTGCTGTCGAAGAAGACTTAAGGACTTTGTCTAAGTGCGCTACATGCTCCTCGACAGTCCTACTGAAGATAAGTATGCCATCGAGGTACACGATGACAAACTTGTCCAAGTAGTCATGAAAAATCCAATTCATAGCGTGCTGGAAGGTGCCAGGAGCATTGCAAGGCTGAAAGGCATCACCACCAACTCGTACAGACCGTACCTGGTTTGAAATGCGGTTTTGTGTTGATCCTCGGGCCGTATTGCAATTTGACGGTACCCGGACTTCAAATCTATCTTACTGAAGTACCGACACCCTTGCACTCGGTCCAATAAGCCATCGATGCTCGGTAGGGGCTCTGCGTTCTTCGTAGTGATGGCATTGAGGCCCCTATAATCAATGCACATCCTCAAGGTCCCCCCCTTCTTCGGTACAAATAAAACTGGAGACCCGTAAGGGGAGACACTAGGCCGGATCCAACCCTTCTCTATGAGTTCCTTGAGCTGGTGGCGAAGCTCATCGAGCTCGCCTGAAGACATCCAATAGAACCTACCCTTCGGAATGCTAGACCCTGGGATAATCTCTATCGCGTGGACGACCTCCCTCTCAACAACCCCTTTCGTTTCTTCACATTGATCAGGGTACTTAGCGGCCACTCCCTCTATCTCCCGCGGCATTTTTACCGGCTCGCCTGCTGCAGAGACATAGACTAAGTACATAACCTCCTTCGGATTTTCTCTATACATACAAAGCAAGCAAAGGGCCCGACGACATGCTCGGTCGCGGGCCCAATGAAATTGGTGAGAGCGGGGCGGCACCAGGAGGAGGTGCGAACTGGGCAGTGGGACCGACGCGGGGTTGAGGCCGAGGCGGAGGAGAGGGCGACAAAATTGCCCGCGGCTGGTGGCGCGTCGGTGTCGGCATAGCGAAAGCCGACCCGTCGGTCCGTGGGGGGGGACTGGGGCGCTGTGGGCCTGCATGGCGGCGTTTGGTGGTGGGCGGATGCGGC